TATATATATATACGTAAAGCACTCCCAAAATCTCGGCGAAATATACCAGGCGGCCCCGAACATAACGAGACGCGACAACTTATCAGACATCGAATGAAAGTGAGTGTGCGAAAAGAACGTGAAGCTTGGTGGACACGGCGGACCAAGGATATGGAAGAGGCCCAGAAAGCGGAGAATGACCGAAGATTATTTCAGTTGATCGGTCTCCGGAAACCACCTGGGAGCGAAGCCATCAAGGTTCGCAATAGAGTGGTCATCTTAAATTAAGAGCGACTCGACCGATGGGCCGAATACTCCCAAACAGTTATCGTGACCACCAGCTACCACTCATTTGGAACCTACAGCTGACGTACAACCCTGGCTGGACAACGTAGAACCACCTATGGCCTCGGACGTCTATGAACACATATGTTCCCTCAAGCGCCACCGAGCTTCTCGTTCGGATGCTAGTTGGTCTGAAGTCCTCAGTTAGCGTTTGTCTGATCTGTTTGCCCACAGTCAGGAAAAACAGATTGTCCCGGACAACAAGGGAGTCGGTGAGAGTGCCTATTTTCAAATAAAGGCACCCCTAGTGAGTGTGGTAACCACAGAGGGATCAGCTTGACCCCATCCGTAATAAGACTGCTGACGTCACTTGCGCTTAGTTATCTTATGGTGTCTCATGAAACACTGACTCAAGAGCTGCAAGCGAGAGTCCGGCGGGGTATGTTTTGAGTTGACCTAATCTTCACACTCCGTCAAATGGTAAAACAACGCCATACGTGCAAATGACCCACAATTTTAGTATCCAAGACGCATTCGACTCGAGTGACTACACTTGTCCATCAAGTAATACCCACGAAGCTTGTGAACAAATGAAGACGTCCTCAGGTGTTCGACAATCGTTGTCTCAGAACCATAGATCGTGTGGGTTGGTTGGAGAGAATCTGCAACGAGGCTAGTAAAAAGAGAGTTTTCGGTTGTGCACTTGGTACTTCGATTGAAGATTGCGTCCAGCACCGCGTCAGGGACGCTGCAAGATATTATTGCTAGTCGATATCAATTGCGTTCGTGTTATCAGTTTCTATGCGGATAGTCTGAATGAGTGCATGTAGGTGTAGGCATCTTGAAACCAATGTAAGAAGCTAGTACTAAGTCCCTTCACCATCAAACTTTATTATTTTGTTCTCAGCGAAGCATCAGTTGCTAGGAAAATAGAAGAGATACCGCAAGTGAATGTGCAATTGCGGTGTAACAACTCATCTGGAGGAGGCATGCCTGCAGGAAAATTGTTTGAGTACGGTGTTCGGATGCTGGAGAATGCACCTCTTCAATTGGCTAACATGATATGGCAAAAGAGGAAGTTCTGTCAAAATTCAAAACTGCTCTAATCGTTTCTTGTACCATGGAAAAGTGAAAATTAATGTGAGGATTATATATGCATCAGTCTTCCGAACTGTGAGTGCAATCTGTTGATAAAAGTGCCACCAAACTGCTTGACAGATCATGTAATCTAAGCACCAATCCCCGAGGAGCGATGTGGATTCCGCAGTGGACCTGATATTAGCTGCATATCCTCAGGAGAAATTCCGTGAAAATAACCAATCTCCCCATATCCTATTCACAGGCTTCAAGAAGGCTTTAGAGTCCGTAAATCGAGTTCCATGCCTGTCCGCCGAAAATCGTCCATATCAACCGACGTCTGCATGATGGGGTAAGAACAACATTGCAAACGAATGGATCAATTTCAAGTGATTTCCACATCCTCCCTGGCGTAAAATGGTGGTGCGTCCCTCTATATCTCTCAACTTATCGCTTTCTTCAAGCTCTATCTACTGACCATCATGAACGCAGCTTTCGTGGATGATGATGCTGGCATAGGCTTAGTATTATATGTATTTTGTACGAACAGACTGGGCCACCAGACAAAGCTCTACATTCTCATGTTTGGGGATGATTGTAGTGTTTGAGCACACATACAATGAACTGTAGCGCTCAGTAGTTGCCGACCCCTCATACGCGGTTTGGTCTGTACGTCACTCGAAGAAAACTTTGTTATGCACCAACCTGAGCCAGGTTGAGTCTTAAACACTCCTCCGTGCATGAAGGCGGGGTTTGTGGACCACTGCGCGGACTTCTGCTACCTCGGAAGCACATTGCTGACTTCAATGTGAGCGTGAGTTCAGATTCTGCGTTGCCAAAGGTGTTTTGGCCTTCGGCATACTCGAAAAACGGATACCGAGAAGCCGGAACACACGACTGGAGACAAATCTGCACGTCTACAATGTGATTGTGTAATCTGCCTCCTTGTACGGCATTCAGAGATTTTTGCGGCTCTATCTCCGACACTTTAGCAGCTTTCACATGCACTATCTGATGCAAATTCCTGGTGTCAGTTGGGCTGAATGAGTGCCGGACATGGAGGTCTTCCGAAAGGCACGCTGCGATGGAAGCCACAATCACGGTTAACTGTCTACAGTCGCTGGGATATATTTGCTGAACGGACGAGAAGTGGATACCAAAGCAGATTCTGGATGGTCAGCTGATTACAAAGACGGAATCTTGGCGGATAAAATCTTCAATATTGGAACATTTTTGTCGGAAGTTTAGACGTTTCTGACTTGGATCTAACAACGTGAGAATAGGAATCGGGACGGCATGGGAAGAAACGATGCAAAGTTGGTCGATTCAACGTCCGCCAACTTCGAGCCACAGAAGCGTGCAAGACAAAAGGTCATCATCGGGGCCGTTAGACCTGGAGATCGAACGAACTGGACCCACAGCGACTAGTCGTGTGTGCGATGGTCATATTGGATCGGTCGACCACCGGTCACCGTTGGTGTATAAAAAAGTTTACCAGATCATCTTAGATTTTCGGGGTATCAAACAGCTAAGTCTGCACCGTGCTAGAAGCGTATTTCGGAGGCCATCGCCGCATAAACCAAAACCTATGAAAATATCTTAACGTACTGAACACTAGGGCGCGTCATAAGCCCGTGATGCTGCCAGAAGTGAAGTTCACTGGCTATCGTGCGGCGAATGGAATCAAATGAAACCATGACCAACTAGAAAACGCCATACAGATGTATTTCGGCTTAGACTTGTTAATACTGCAGGCCTCCAGCCTATCCGAAATAGGCACAATTGGATTTGACTGCTGGTCTATACCCCTCCGTCTTCAAATCTTTGCTTCAATGTCCTGGATGTTACGGAGTACTAAGCCTGCAACGGTGCTCGAAGTGACTTTCTGTAACCATCGTTGTTACGCCGGCCTGAGTAATGACTAGCACTAGCCAACCTAGTGTTCGCGTCTGGGATGCGTCTCATGCGTCCCTCCCTGCATATGTTTTGGGGCTCCTGTTTAGTTGTACTTCCATGAATGAATAATTATGAGTATGCTGATGGCTTCAGAACTGTACCTCCGTGTCCACCGCCCAGTCCTATTCGTTCGAATTTACACTGGCTACAGGTGTTCAGCTGTTCAGCGTGAACCGTATATGGTATCACTAATTGTGCGCGGGGGGTGATGGGGGTCGTTCGGTGACAGGCTAATCCGGAAAAACTGTCCATTACATAAACATATATTATTTCCAAAGGATGCAGAATCAATCAGTAGTTGTACCTTTTATGTAGGACATCCGGACTGGCCTTTATCAGAGCGGAGACTAGTTGAAGTAAAGGGCCAGTGGAGGGTGCAAGATCCGACGTTAATGCCCCGAGGAGTGACCAGATTCGGCCCAAAAGATGTCGCGTTTGTTCTGAACCAAAGGTGGTTGAACACCAATGAGAATCCACGATGGGAAGTAATGCTGATGCAGCTGCAGCACGAATATCTTCATCTGCGCCTGAAACGATGCAGTTGCCTGTATTGGAGTCCAGTTTAACAGGCTCGGCATTGAGTTGTTCGATCAAACAAGGAGTGATCAGTGTCAAGAGAATTGGTCGTAGATCCTGAAGCAAAAAACAAACAATCATCAGAGGTATTCCTATTCGATGGGGGACACACATTCAGTTCACTGTGCCGAGTCCATAGGTGTGAATCAATCGCCCCATACAATGTGAATTCGCCAGGTAAGGGTTGGATAAATAGGTCCGCACACATGCGTAACAATATGTAACACGAACTTCGGACAGCTGACGACATCTATGGGAAGAAATGTGACATAGATCCACAAATTTTCGGGCTAGGGAACAAACAATTCATCTTTACATCCGATGGTTCAAATTGGAGTCAAGTAAGTCTTCGGTTTAGAACCTCCAAAGCTGATTACAACCACACGGCTAAACAGACAGCTCAGTAATCCAGCTTACCTAAAGGTCCCTTTCCAAACGTCACTAGCAAAAGCGCTGGATTTAGTTATCCAGAAACCAAGTGGAAAATAGTGAGAAGCAGGCGCGCCAGAAAGCCTTATTTTAACTTCGTTTCGTCATGGATCACATCCCTGACATCTTGCCTGCCCAAAATAGTGGTATCAGACGGTGTTAGTAACAGAGTGCATAGGTTGGATCAGCAGTATATTAGTAGTAGAGTAGTATAGTATAGAGATCATCGATCACAAAAACAATGGCGGACGTAGCATATACCCTGACAGTTAGTACATTCACGATACACGGTGAAATTTGATGAGCACTAGGAAAAACGGTTCCCGTTAAATAATAACGAGGCAGATGAATGGTGAAGAGGAGCCCAGTGCACAAAACTGAGTCAAGTTTAAAAAGGGCAACGATAAAAGCAATATTTCAGGGAATGGTAGAGGGTGTTTTTCCGAAAATCAGATATTTTGTTCAGAAGTGAATCATACTACAGATAAGCGTACCTACAGTGATTCTGCTTCTATGGCGACCGACTAAATCAAATGCCCTTACTGATACTCGCAAAGTTCCAACCCTGTTTGTAAGAACAGCTAAGTCAAGCTTTTCACAGCTCAATCACTGCTATTTCATGTAAATTTAAGTGGACGGTCATGACATGCATCTAAATCCACAAGCAATCACTCTACAATATCCAGGTACATGGACCAACCATTTTCAAATAGCCTCATCAGCCGTACCCGCAAAGGGGCTTATAATGAAGGCAGTCTCTCTCAGTACTATGAAATGACTCATAAAACCTGCAAGAAAAGGGATCAGATTAGTTCATTTTATTTGATGGCCAACAGTTTTGGTTAGAGCACTGATTTCCACCTGTACACTAAGATCAGACTGCGTGTTAGTTGACGGCGGAGCCGACGGACCTCTGCAGTGCCCCCATATACTGTGAGAAAAATTGAATCTCACGCAGTCAACTGAAAAGCGGTCGGTTTTTTAGCTTAAAAAGCCGCCAGAGTGTACAATACGCTTCTAGCACAGTAAATTGTGAATTAGTACGTTCATCTACGCTAAGCACCAGTACGGGAGATTCCCATAATGCGTAGCTATCGAGTGGCAAGTGGTAATAGAAGTGATCGCCGCGAACGAGGGCAAAGGTCAGAACAAGAATAATCGCAAAAATTATCAAGAAAGATGGCATTTCCAAAAGCAACCTACCCTTCGGGAGGCCAGTAGGTATTTGATACCCAAAAGTCCCCCGTGAACAATCATCCAACTATTCTTCCAAGAGCTTTCAGGTGTTAAGGTCGAATTTTGCTCGGGAGTTCGCGTCTCAAGCGTAACCAAGTAGACAAGGTGCTTGGCAATCAGCATAACCTGCTCGGTGGACAAGTGTAGACTGAGTACACCAAGCAATTGCGCAGCCGTTTCGCGGACGGGTGAGACAACCTGTAAACAACGAAAATCAATATTCTGAAGGTACTAAAAAAGGGGGCAACTATGGCGTTTTCTAAACTCTTAAGACAGCCTACGTGAACTCCAAAGTGCTTCAGAATGGACAAGTTCAGCAACACTGAATGCATTGCGGAGAGTGTGTAAAAAACATGTCTGAGAACTATGGAACATAGTCATCAAAGTAGTGAACACAAAATGAACGCTGAAAAGCATAATACTGTTGGCATAAAGAGAAACCATACCGCTCTGCTCAATATGGATTGGCAGTGTGACTGTAGCATTACAGAAGACATGAAAAGGCCTAAGATTCCACGACTTACCTCATCAGAAATAAAATCTGAAAGCTGATCTAGTGCAAGGGTACACAAAACCCGCACAACAATGTCTTCCAGATATCGCGAATGACTTATTTCCATCTAGAAAAGAAATACGGTAAGTAGCTGAACGCAACAGCCTCTGCAACGTACATCAAAGACAGTAGAAAACAAATCTAATGAAACAAGAACAACCTGATAACTTGAGTCCGGGCCCGTAACAGCACTTAAGCGGTTAGTCGCCTCAAGCTGCAGAATGGATCGCCGGTTGTTTAGTCATAGAGCTCCAGGTGCATGGTGAAAGAAAAAATGTCTTATGCGAAAAACTTATCACATTTCGACACGACTTTTTCCCTCTATTTTACAAAGGATGCCACGACCAGCTCTTCTCAGTTGTGTCAGGATATTGCGTGATGAAAAAATTCAGTACGGTCTCCTGTAGCCTAAGGGTTTGTTTCGAATCAAACATGTTGTCCGCGTTACTAGTAAACGACTAGAATCTAGCTTTTCCCATTTGGATATGTGCAGTTAAAATGAGTATTATGTAGCAAGATGGTCGATTCACATAAAAAACGATAATGTCAGAAAGATGACAAATCACCTCGGTTTCGCTCATGTCAGTCCGTTTTCCACAGTGCTTCGTATGCCGGTTTTCAGCTAACAGTTCCCGCAACCCTGATGCCGCTCCATGTCTGGTCTCCCAACGCAAAGCCCAAAGATCACCCAGTAAAAGGGTACAAAAATGGTCTAACGGCCAACCTTTGCTTGCAGAAGACCCCCGTTTCACTGTTCGTGGGCTCGCTGTTGACAGAGGGCAACAGTTTTCATCTTGATGATCCAAACGGGAGCGCTTGGACAGCTCAATAGGGCTGGAATTCTCACATGAGATTGGTCTAGAGTGAAAGTGGTGGAAATTACAATGAAGGTCACAATACTATCCGAAAAATTGAGCGGAATAAATATGCTCGAGAACTTCAGCAAAACATTCCACTACATGCTGTCAATAATGGAAAGCAATGCTCAGCATAAGGCAGTTTCTGGGTCAGTTTTGCGACACGCGCAATTTAATCTGTACAGTTGACACTGGGCTTCGAAGTAGGTGACTGATCGTCTGGTCGACGCAATTGCCAGTGGGATAAAAGTAACTGCGAATGATTAACCGTAATTTCTCCCTCTTTGTGAGTTGTCAATCAAAGGTAGCCCTGGGATCTGAAACTAACGACGCTTCAGTGACATCATCTCAACTGGAAATTCTTGTTAACTGCCCACTTGAGGCGCGAGGCTGAATGCTCACCAACTGTACTGCGTTCACCGAAAGCTCCAGCAAGGCTTCAGAGTATAGTCTTCAAAGATCTCGGCAACGGAAACCGGAAGATTATTATCCGAGATCTTTCAACCCCCGACGGCTTTGACAAAGGCAAGTAAGCAAAAATGTCAGTACAGCATACCTTTTGACAGCCGTTCCATCCACATCACGGTAAGCAGTTAGAACGCAATTCTGAAAAAGCGGATGTATCGAGAAAAAAAAGAAATACCTCAGTCCCGGAAGGATGGTTGGCTGTCATATACACTCCGAACAAAATACTCAGTAAACGGATAACTTTGAGATGTGAAGATAAGGCTAGAAAATAGCGGTTGCTTCATTTCTTAACTGTAACGGTACCTGTTGATTATCATGCAAAGCGCGGTTCCTTCATCCGTTTGAATCAGGTACTTACAGACCATAATGAAATGTGATGAACGAACCAGGCGGTCAAAATTAAAACAATAAAATAAGTGGAAGGCGCTCCATTGTTCTAGAAAAATTTGTAAAACAACAAAAGGTAAATGGGAAGTTTCTGGCCCGAAAGACGTGCAGAGGCACATCATTTGCGCTAGTCTTTGGAGTAGCTAGAAGTCCAATTTGGAGCGGGGAAAGATAACCACTGAGGTTTCGCTCAGTGACCTAGCTTATCTTTTCAACGTACCTTATGTAAATGCAAAATTTCACAGGTCCTGGATATCTTGGTCACTGCCAAGCTACTCCCTATACTGTCTTCTTTCGTCTCACTGAGATCCCATTTCGCACCGAAACAATCGTGTTTGCTGGATGCTCTTCTGCAGACGGGGAACACATGCGTCAATTCTTTTTCCTTTCTCGAATGAGCCGCCAGCAAATGCCCAAAGATTTTCGGAAGTCCTCATCAAAAGCATGCACCTCTCTATACCCCTTTTCTATAAGTCGCGTAAAAACTCCCCTAAGTGAATCAACTGTGTCCACGCCGTTGCAAGAAAGAATAACATTCGTAGACGTTAGCTCAGTAATTCTTCTAATCTGATAATCCGCGTCCATGCAAAACTATTCCAACGACATTATCACACAAAAAGATGACTAGATAACGGAAAGGTCTACCAGGAGCCGCTCTTTCTGAAGCCTAGATAAAACGCAGTCGCGTAAGGTGCGGACAAATCGCATGGGCGTCCATGCTATTCCAACGACATTATCACACAAAAAGATGACTAGATAACGGAAAGGTCTACCAGGAGCCGCTCTTTCTGAAGCCTAGACTAGATGCAGTCGCGTAAGGTGCGGACAAATCGCATGGCAACTGGAAGACTGGCAGATCTGGATGTCAGACGAACTTACAAGAATCGTCTTTTAGAGTCTCTTCCAAGTGCTCCACCATCAGATGTGAACTCATACTGGGACGAGATTGCCACCTCTTTGCATAGTGCTGGGAATTTTGCCTGTGGCACGACCCCACCAGGCGCACTCAAGCACTGGATATCAGACCGAACGGTGGCACTACTTAAATCTCGAAGAAATATCCCAGCCGGTCCAGAACATAACCCGGTGCGAAGAGCTATCAGACGCCAAGTGAAAATGAGCTTGCGATCCGACCGTGGACTATGGTGGACACAGAAAGCCAAAGAAATGGAAGAGGCCCAGAAAGCCGGTAATGCCCGAAGATTATTTCAGTTGATCCGTGCGGCCGGTCCCTGGAAACCACCTGTGAGCGGAACCATCAACCATCAGAACGGAATGACAATCTCGAGCAAAGAAGAACGCCTCGACCGATGGGCTGAATACTTTGAACAACAAATGTCTTGGCCACCAGCCGGCACTCATCTGCAGCCCACAGGTGAAGTAGAACCCTGGACGGTGAACGTGGAACCACCTACGGCCTCAGAGGTTTACGACTGCATATGTTCTCTCAAGCGCCACCGAGCTCCCGGTCCGGATGACCTTCCACCCGCACTGTTCAAAGACGG